GGGGTATAATTGAAGAGGTGGGTATAATAATACTTATAACTGATATTCTTGCTTCCTCATCAGGCTTTTTGCTCACTGACAACCTGTTATCAAAACTAACCATGTTTAACAGGAATGCTTTCCTGAAGTTTGTTTTTAATAAATGAATACTCATTGTCACAATACTATCCATATGTGTGCTTTCTAAGATTATATCCTACTAGGTATTTCTATTTTATTCCTTCCAAATGCAAATCACTGTACTGACCTGATTTTATCAACTTCCAAAATAAGTCCTTATGACTGTAGATTGTATTTTTTGCTTTTTCTTTTAGAGGTGGATATTAAACGTAATGATACTGAATTGAGACCAGAGTTTTTATCCTAAGTGCTTCCTTGACAATTAGGCTTTTGATGGGTATGAAACCTGATTTGCCATTTTTCATTGATGGAGAGAGAAACTTTATGGTGGTGTGTCCAATGAAGTCTAATTTTGGTACGTACTTGTTTCCCAAAAATTTGACCTAAAGAACCTACAGTCTTTTCAAATACAATCCTTTCAAAATATATAATACTTGGTGATGTCTAACTTTATTAGGCAGAGGTCCCATGTAATCTGTTTCGTTGTCAAATGTTTTTTAAAATGTAGATTGTCAATTTAGCCTCTTCTAAACATAAGAGAAGGACAGACTCCCCGTTTACATTGAAATTGAATCAAAAAATAAAGTTTATACATTAAAAATATAAAGTAAGCTTTAATTTTGTACCCTTCACAAAGTTAATCTGATTTTCCTTTTTGAATGGATTATTCAAATAATTAATGTTACTGTTCAATTCCGGAGCAAACAATGATTAAAGCTACTTTTATGGAATTTTTGAATGCTAATGGAATTTGTGAGGATCATATGAATTTTGTGTTTACATAGTTTCACAAAGGAAGATAATACTATAGTGAAAATTATAAAGTGTGCTCAGAGTTATTTATGAGATGACAAATACTTGTCATTTTTCTAAAAAGCAGAAAATAAAGCCTAACCTAACTGAACTTTTCCCATATGTATATATACACTGCTTATAAATCTCACTGTACTTAGAATTCTTCACGCTAACTCACTTTTGGAAAAACTGAAGATTCAGCTGGACCTTGGTCCAACCAACATTGTTAAAATGGTTCCTTTTACCTTTGAGGATAGCCTATGGAGGTGGGAAAGATTGTCACTGAATCAAAACTGGGAGGAGTGTTAGAAGCTACCTTGTTCAACCCAAGCCAGCTATAGCTTTTCATTAGATGGAGTATTTTATTAGCTGGCAATGACAATCGAAAGTGCTACAAGTTAAAATTTTGATTTTTTTCTTAACTCCCCTCCTCCTCTTCTTGGTTCTGTCCTTGAAATAACATAGAACAAGTTACTCCTTCCACATAACAACCTTCAATTATTTAAAGATAGCTGTTACATCTTTAGCCTTCTCTTCCTAAGGCTAAACATTATGTTGTTTATGTCACATGTATCCTAAGTGAGTTTCTCTAAGTCCCTTGTACAAGAGGCCATGCCTTGTGTGTGGTATATTGCTTAGGCAGATAAAAAGTAAATCTGGCTATATTTCTTCTAACTGATCCCAAGTATTCATTGATTTTGGTATCTTTTATGTTTGTCTGTTTTGTCTTTTGTATTTGGAGATGCCAATGGAACTCTAAGAATATTTGAAATTTTAAGTATTAATTATTAACAGACTATTGTGTTTCCCAAAAATAAACGTTATACAACCTAATTCTTTCTTAAATGATTACAAGGGACAATTAAAAAATGACAAAAAGCTTTCAAGAGATTGAGAAAAAAGGTTAGAGGTCCTATATTGATTTGAAGGATGAAGGTACTATATTGACCTTGAAGGCTATTTGAGATCTAGCGTAGATTTGAGAGCACTGTCTTAATTATGGTTCATATTAAGAATATTGATTGGGGACTTCCCTGGTGGCCAGTGGTAAAGAATCCGCCTGCCAATGCAGGGGACTCGGGTTTGAGCCCTGGTCGGGGAGGATCCTACATGCCGCGGAGCAACTAAGCGCGTGCGCCACAACTACTGAGCCTGCGCTCTAGAGCCCGCAAGCCGCAACTACGGAGCCCGAGTGCCACAAATACTGAAGCCCGCGCCGAGAGCCCGTGCTCCGCAACAAAGAGAAGCCACCGCAATGAGAAGCCCACACACCGCAACGAAGAGTAGCCCCCTCTCGCTGCAACTAGAGGAAGCCCGCGCGCAGCAACAAAGACCCAATGCAGCCAAAAATAAAAATAAATTTAAAAAATCAAAAAACGAACAAACAAAAAAAGAAGATGGATTCCTGGGGACTTCCCTAGCGGTCCAGTGGTTAAGACTTTGCACTTCCAAGGCAGGGGGCGCTGGTCTGATCCCTGGTCGGGGAACTAAGATCCCACATGTCGAGTGGTGTGGCCAAAATAAATAAATACATAAAATTTAAAAAATAAAATGAAAGGTTGATTTGGGTAATAATTAAAAAAAAAGAATATGGATTCCTGTGATACTGCTCACAAAATCCTAAAAGCGTAGTTAAACGCACATAGCTAGTTTTAGGTGTGGATTGTGCTATATACATATTTATTTATTTGAATTTTTAAACATTTATCAACATTTTAGGTTGATTTACTTACAATAAAATGTTTATGTTTTCAGTGTACAATAAAATGTATATACCTGTGCTATACATCTTTAGAGGTCTCCAAGTAATGAGTATGTTAAAAGTGATGGAATTATACACGTCGTGATCATTTAGGAGTTAAGCCAGGTATTCATACACCTATACAAAAGTGACTCAGTAATAATTTTTTAAAAACTGTAGGAAGAGAGGATCTAAATAAATGCTGTTATGTGCTATTATAAGTCATATTTCTTCAGACAACAGGAAAAATGAATGATGCATAGGAATTTGCATTTTTGTATTGGCTTAAACTACCACATTTGATCTTAACTATTTTTACCCAATAAAACATTTCTTTCTATAGAAAAGATTTACCGTATTCATGTTTTTAATTTTTTAAAGACATCTAAGTCCACCATAGTTTTATTTATTTTTTATAAATTTATTTATTTCTTTATTTTTGGCTGTGTTGGGTCTTTGTTGCTGCCCGTGGGCTTTCTTTAGTAGCTGCGAGTGGGGGCTACTCGTTGCGGTGCATGGGCTTCTCACTGCAGTGGCTTCTCTTGTTGTGGAGCACGGGCTCTAGGCACGTGGGCTTCAGTAGTTGTGGCATGCGGGCTCAGTAGTTGTGGCTTGCAGGCTCTAGAGCACAGGCTCAGTAGTTGTGGTGCATGGGCTTTGTTGCTCTGTGGCATGTGGGATCTTCCCGGACCAGGGCTTGAACCTGTGTCCCCTTCCTTGGCAGGTGGATTCTTAACCACTGGCCTCCAGGCAAGCCCCAGCATAGTTTTAGATAAGTTGTTGCTCATTGGGCTCATAATTTTATTTACTTTTCTAATTAAAAAATTTTAAATATTTAAACTTGTTGCCAATTGAAATACCAAGCTCTGTTTTGTCATGGTAACAGATTTATCACTTGTCAAGTACAGCCAGGTTTTTTTTAAAGAACAATTAATGACTGGATGTGCTCAGATTCCATTTGAATTTTGTGTGTGTATACTCCCACGTGTATGCATTTCCATGGCAAGGCGGGAAATGTTTTAGACTTCTTTAACAATCTACTAATGACATTTGAACCTGAAGTGATTTCCTAAAGGTTTTGCTGAACTGACTCTCTTGGTGAATCAATTTAATGCTGTGTCACATGTACAGGAAACCAACAGACCTGCTGTTTCTTTGACGTTACCAAAAGTCATTTCCTCTGCCCCAGCTAGGTAGACAACAGTCCAATATCGGTGACTAAGAGGTTATCATGACCAGTAAAATTATCATGACCAAATTATTATGACCAATAGCCAGCAGTTGCAAAGACATTCACTGCCATGGACTAGAGAACAAATTCAGGAGCTACTATTAAGCTTTATTGCTTTTAAGCAGACCTATTCAAGATAGGAAAGTTAAGCCAAGATTTTTACTCATTTTTCTCTGAACGCCTAACCACATTTCTCTGAATATTTAACTGCCATAATAATATAGGTCATTTTTCTAGAAAGAGGATTAATTATGTTGCTGGGTTTTGCTCCGAGCAGTGGTTTTGCCAGTATTTTTCAAGCTCAGATCACCCCAACACAAGAATAAATTAGGTCTCTTATTAACTTTTCTTGTCCACAGTATAGGATTGAAAGTTTATTCTGAGTGGAGGATTAAATGTCTTCCTCCTTCCCAAGCTTGATCACCGGCTTCCTTTGGCCTTTTCTCATTGTTTTTTAAGGATTATTTCCAGATCATACACAAGCACGTGCAATCCTTACAAAAGAGATGGGTGAAGACAAAACTTTCTCACCATTCGGTTTCAGGGGCTATCACAGGAGAATGAAGTGCATGAAAAAGGTTTCATAACATTGGAGGAGACTTTAAAAGCTCAGTAGAAACACAACTGAAAATCCACAAGAGGGAGATGCTTGCTAAACCGCCAGAAAGTAACTCCCAAGAGGGACCTGAGAGAGCCTTAACAGGAGCCAATAGGTCCGCCCGGGATTCAAGGCGGGAGGGAACAGGAGTAAATAGTGGCTGGGGTCTGGTAGGGGGAGTATAGGTGAAGGGAAAAGCAGGACTGGCTTCGTGACTTTGGCAGCGAAGCCCGTGCTCAGCCCAAGACCAGGAGCAGAAGCTAAGAGTGTGTTGCCAAAGAGCAGTACACGCTCCCAGCTACCTCCTGTTAGTCCCATAAGTAATGGGGGTGGTTGTCTTTGAAGGCACTTCCGCTTAGCAACCCCACGCGGTTGCTAAGGAGGGAAGGTAGCGGGGATGACCCGGAAGTGGTGGTGTCTATTTCTCACTGCCTGCTTTAAGTTTGTCCTATTGGGAGCGCCAGGGTGCTCTGCGCCGGGCCGGGGGTGGGGCCAGCGCTAGAGGTTCCGGTTCGGCTTCTTCGGCCCCTCGGCTCCTCGTCTTACCCCTCCCCTCCCGCACCTCTCCTCCCTCCCGTTCCTGGGAACTGGAGAAGCCAAAGCTGCGGGTGGGTAGAGAAGCACTCGGCGCCTCCGGGAAGGGGCTGCGCCCGCCTCGTCTGTACCCCGAAGCACTGCCAGGTACTCTCTCCGGCTTCGACGGGGTCCGGGAGGCTGGAGCTTGAGGATGTGTGTGTGTATCTGAGGGGTGGTGGGGGCCCCTTCTCCGGCTCGGGGAGGGGAGCGCGGAGATCCTGGGTGGGGCGCAGGCCGGCGTGTGTGCCCCTGGCGGGTTGCGGGGGTGGAAGGAAAGGGCTGGGGATGACGGCTGGCGGAGAGTTTCGGGTGGCCGTGTGGAGGTTGCGGAGGAGGCGCCCCCTCAGATGCAGAAGACTTCGGGCGGTGTGGACGGGGAGTTTGCCACCTGGAGGTTTAGCTCTGAAAGAGGGAGCATCCTCTAGGTCCAGAAGGAGAGCATGGACCCCGGCAGGGTGGATGGGGCAATCCCATACTTCCATTGCCTGCTTTTTCTGCCCACCCCTCTGGGACAGAGCCCGGCTTCGGGGATTGTGAGTCGGCTGGGCACCGTGGGGAGCCGCCCTTGGCAGAGCTAGGGCAGAAGAGTGGGTAAGGAGACCTCCCTCCTCCCAACTTCCTTGCGCTTCCCCCACTTCTTCCTTAACTGCTCTCTTGCCCCAGTGTCCCACAGGGGCGGTAGCCCCCTCCCCAAGTGGGTAGGCATCACAGCGTAAAAGAAAGAAGGTGGAACTGGGCTTGTGGCCCCAAATGATACTTCGAATGTTCGGAAAGTGCCAGATTGACATATTCAACCAAGTCTCCCAGCTGAATATTAAGTTTGGTCTAAATTATTTTAGAAAAGTGCAGTTCTGGAAACCAGCAAACTGTAAGCTGGTCTGGCATAGCCTTATTTGGTAGATATGCGTGTTTTTAAAAAATAGACTGGGGGAACCGTAAAGATACAGAGGTCTAGGCAAGACGTGTTGAGGCAAGCCTTTTCCAACATCTTTCTTACCTGCCAGTGAGCTTGACCTAGTTTAAATGAAGCACACAGATCCTCTTCATTTATATTTCAATCAGTGACTGAATTGTAGGTACTGTGTGGTTATCAATGTCTCAGAATAGTTGCGTGAACCTTCGGAGAGACAAGATTCCCTGCTTTTGAGCCTGCCTCATAATCTTTTAAGGAGATAATTGTGGTTAAGTGGAAGTATTGGTTTTGAGGTTAGGTAAATCTGGGATTGAACTGGGACTGCCACTGACTAGTTGTTGGCCTTGGGCAAGTCATGGAACCTACCATAGATTCAGTTTCTTCATAAGTAACACGAGTTAAAACTCTAATCAGTATTGTAAGGGGGGGGTAATATATCTAAATAACAGTCCATCTTAAATGGAAGCACCTTCCAGTTGAAAGATGAATTATTAATAATCTTAATCTTATGCAGTCAAGGTAGCCCAGTTTTGTGGAATGAGGTTTGAGATAGGAACAGAACTGGATAATATTCCAAAACATATATATACAACAGGATTTTCAGTAGCTTCTAGAAATTGATCATAAGTAGCATGAAATTCAGTTATCAGTAGTTTCTTAAAACTCTTAAAAATAAAGCAGAATATATGCATTAACTGAAATGACCAATAATGTTTCAAAGGTTTTTCTCAGATTTGTGATGTGTGTAGTATGGATTGGTAAGAAAAAAATTTAAAAAGTAATGTATATAAATCTTAATTAACATCACATGTCTGGAGAGAATTAAAATTGGGGCATAAAATAGAAGAAAGTAGTTATAATTTTAAGAATAAAATCACAAGTAGTATGACTCATCTTAATTAGATTTAAAATATTAGCAAAACTTACAGAATTCTTATATGTATAGTATTCTATAAAATAAATGCAAATGGAATGAATTTCTGCCTTTAAATCATTTGTGATGATAATATGGAAATATATCTCAGAAACATAAAGTCTTTTTTTGTTTTTTGGTCAGGTACCAGGCTAATCACTTTTTTTTTTTTTTTTTTTTTTTTTTGTGGTACGTGGGCCTCTCACTGCTGTGGCCTCTCCTGCCGCGGAGCACAGGCTCCGGACACGCAGGCCCAGCGGCCATGGCCCACGGGCCCAGCCGCTCCGCGGCATGTGGGATCCTCCCGCACTGGGGCACAAACCTGCGTCCCCTGCATCGGCAGGCGGACTCTCAACCACTGCGCCACCAGGGAAGCCCCACTTTTTAAAAAAATAAAATTAATTAATTAATTAATTAATTTATGGCTGCATTGGCTCTTCGTTGCTGTGCGCAGGCTTTCTCTAGTTGCAACGAGTGGGAGCTACTCTAGGTTGCCGTGCATGGGCTTCTCATTGAAGTGGCTTCTCTTGTTGTGGAGCACGGGCTCCAGGCATGCGGGCTTCAGTAGTTGCGGCACGTGGGCTCACTAGTTGTGGTGCACGGGCTTAGTTGATCCACAGCATGTGGAATCTTCCCGGAACAGCGATCGAACCCGTGTCCCCCGCATTGGCAGGCAGATTCCTAACCACTGTGCCACGGGGGAAGCCCACATCATTGAAGTCTTTATATTCATTTGTTTTGTAGATTTAAAACAATATAGTTATTTGTAACCTATTATATGCCAGATTTTCAGCTAACGTAGTTTGCTTTTTTTTTTTTGTAGTTTGCTTTTTGATGTAACTTGAAGTTAGTAATTTTTTTTTCTTTTTTTTGCGGGGGCCACACTGCGTGGCTTTAGGGATCTTAGTTCCCTGACCAGGGATCGAACCCGGGCCTCCGTAGTGAAAGTGCCACGTCTTAACTACAGGACAGCCAGGAAATTCCCAGTAATTTTTAATTATTATTTTTTTAATGTACTTTATACTCAAAAGATAAAAATCAAATAACTTCCTTTAGGGCTTCCCTGGTGGCGCAGTGGTTGGGAGTCCGCCTGCCGATGCAGGGGACATGGGTTCGTGCCCCGGTCCGGGAAGATCTCACATGCCGCGGAGTGGCTGGGCCCATGAGCCATGGCCGCTGAGCCTGCGCGTCCGGAGCCTGTGCTCCGCAACGGGAGAGGCCACAATAGTGAGAGGCCCGCGTACCGCAAAAAAATAAAAAATAAAATAAAAAATAAAACTGTTCAGCTATGTTGCATGCTTCTTGAGGTAGAAATACTATTTTAAATTTTATCCACCACTGCAGCTACATAATCGGCACCGAATAAATATTGGTCAAATTGATAAATGGATGAATATATTTAAGATTATTAATAAGGTATCTAATTATGTTTTTACTACATGTTTTGTAAGGTTATTCAACGTTCTAAGTGGCTTTTCTGTACACTGTAAAGTCTTTAGTGTATATGTAAGCACTTAACTGCGTCTTCCTGGATCATTATTTTTCAGTATCTTTTGAATCTTAAAGTTGAGATGATATTATCTTGCTTTGGTAAAGCCATGAGAAGTTCCCATTTTTTTCCCTATCTTCTCATAACACTTTAATAAATAATTCATTTTGGTATAAGAGTTAGGATACTAGCTGGAAAAAGGTATATTTAAAATGTGGGCAATAATAGAGACTGTTACAGATAATGCTTTTCTCAGTGACCTTTTCCACTTAAACAAAGTATGTGGCCATTCCACAGATCTTTGCAATTGTCAGTTATGGAATTTGCTGGTCAGGAAATCTAAAAATGACTAAACCTTCCTTTAATGTCTGTGTCTTGGATGATCTCAGAAAACTTTAGGAAAGATTGGGAAGGTTTGTATACCATACTAGAATATATAATGAACAAAGTACAGTTAACTTTATTGGTGCTGCCAAATCAGGAGTGAGTTTCTGTGGAAATGTTTAAAAAATACCAGGCAGTGCTTTCCTCAAACGAAATGAGTATTCTTCCAGAGCTTGTTTCTATTTTAGAGCTTATTTCTTTTTAGACTATGATTTGCTCTCTAATAAAGATAAATAATCATTGTATCCAGAAAAAAAGGCTGATATCATAGACAGATTTTATTACCACCAATCTTGATAGAAACTGCTTCAATGGCTTCAAATAAGTGGAAGTAGATTTTCATGAAAGAACTTAAGAATTTGTGGAACGATAGTTTTTCTCTATTGAACATCTAACTTGTCTCTGCTCATTTCTGCCTAATATAGAAACTTTGAGAAGCTGGGAAGAAAAAGAAAAAAGAATGAATTTACTTCAGAATTAGCATTTTATGTTTTGTAGGTTACTTATTTGGAGAGCTAAATTGGATTTTGACATTATTGGGACTGTGTTCAAGATGGACTCGGGGAAAAAAAATTAGAGAGATGCCATCTGCTTCAGATTCCTGTTCCCTCACCCCTTCATGTTTTGTGGCTTTGAATTTATCAGATTTTTTTTTTTTTTTACATAAAAACCCTCAGTAGATTTAGGTTATATAATTTCAGCTATACCGATGAACCTGTCACTAAAAGAACTTGCATTTTATATTGAATTACACAGAAGGATCACAGACATTGGTTAAAAGTAATTGTTATTTCAGACTATCTGAACATGAGATAGTTTCATACATCTTTGTCGTCATTTGCTTAATAAACCATTCTTGTCATTAGTGCTCACCACAGTCCACTTATTGGTAGAAGTTGCTAAAAAAATGGATTATGGAGATATAGAATAAATCCTTTTTTTCCTCTGGTATTACAACCAGAAGAGAAGTTTCTGTTGTTTTTTTTTTATTTACTGATGAATCCACTTAAACTTATTCTTTGAGTAGTGAGTTTTGCCTTACCTTATGCCAATTGCTATAGTTTTCATCTAAGTGATACCATACAGTTCATAGGGCACATACTTGTCACTTTTCAGTTTGAATCTTTAATACTCCTGAGCACAGGCTTTTGGATTTACTGAGCTGGAAAAGAATGTGTCTAGTTCAGGTTACAGTAGTCAGGCACTTAGCATGGACCAGAAAGACCCAGGCATCTTTGAAACTATAAAGTAAAAGTGGTATGATATCCCAGAAATTATCTGAAGGGAGAGTCTTCTGGATAGAAGAGAGCCATGTTGTGTCTGCAATAGGAATGTTCTGGTGATGTGGGAAAACAGATAAACTGCCCTTGTAGTCTGTTCCTTACCCAGAAGCTCCAAGTAGGCAG